AAGACGCCATGAGGCGGGTAATAGAAGAGACAAAGTTAGTTGGGATGACTAAGCCCAGGGTTAGATGCTACAACTGCGAAAAAGCAGGTCATATTGCGCGCGAATGCAGAGCTAAGCGCAAACGATCCAGGTCATCGTCACCACCTCCAACGAAAGATGGTAGAAGAATGGCCCAACAGTCCACCAATGAGTCACAGTTAAACTAAATCGAGCCAGTCCAGCGGGGCATGAACTGGCTCCCATCGACGATGGCCCCACAATCTCCATAGCAATAGTACAACAGAAAAGTCACAACCTAACAACAACTGGGTACATCAATGGTGATAAGCGAGTTCTGACGTTAGATACTGGCGCATCAAAGTCCATCGTAAGATCAGATCTGGTAAAGGGGAAAATAACGCAACTTAATGGAGTCAGACTGCGCACAGCAACGGGGGAGCCCGCGGCAGTACACGGCAAGATTACCCTGAGACTAACTATTGCCAATAAATCGGAGAATTACGAGTTTATAGTTGCCGATATCGTAGACGAAGTGATAATAGGCGCAGATTTTATGATTGCCTTTGGTATCAATCTGGATATGAAAGAACGTGTGATGACCTGTTCTAACGTCGAAATTCCGTTAAACGTGGGCTACGATGAAAGCACACCCATTAGACGTCTGACCACGGACCATCCAGAGATAATACCGCCCTGTGCCGAAGCAATAATATGGGTACCAATGAATGGAGATTGTGGAGCCGAGAAGTTGTGGGTGGTGGAACCAGCAGAAAACAGCCAGCAGCCATGGAGAAGAAGCACCTCGACGGCTACATAAAAGAGTGGACACACCAATTATCACCTTCCGAGAGGAACAAGGCTTAGCAGCTATTATGGAAATATGCCTCTACCTTTGCGTTGACAAAAGAGCACCAAGGAAGAACATCAGTGGTGAAGCATGAAATCAATACAGCAGACGCGAGACCCATTAAACAGCCTCCAAGAAGTGTTCCCCTGGCAAAAAGAGACGAGGTTCAGAAGCTGATAAGTGAAATGGAAAAGAGTGGTGTAATAGAACCATCGTCAAGTCCATGGTGCTCCCCAGTGGTCTTGGTCAAGAAGAAAGACGGAAGCACCCGATTTTGTGTGGACTACAGAAAGTTGAATGATGTCACCAAGAAAGACAGCTATCCGCTCCCAAGAATCGACGACACATTGGACACATTAGCCGGGACGTCATGGTTCTCCACCCTCGACCTGCAGAGTGGGTACTGGCAAGTAGAGATCGCCGAGAAAGATAAGGAGAAAACAGCGTTTGGCGTAAATGGGGGTCTCTGGCAGTTCAATGTCATGCCATTCGGACTCTGCAACGCCCCGGCTACATTTGAAAGGCTGATGGAGCGTGTGTTAAAAGGGCTGCAGTGGAAGTCGTGCCTCATATACCTGGATGACATCATAGTCATGGGACGCAACTTCGACGAACACATCAAGAACTTAAAGGATGTTCTACAGCAGCTTTCGTCTTCAGGCCTCAAGCTGAACCCAAAGAAGTGCAGTCTCTTCCAACGAGAGGTGAAGTTCCTGGGGCACCACGTGACGCCGGAGGGCATATCGACGGATAATGAGAAAATTCAAGCCGTCAGAGATTGGCCGCAGCCCCCAAATCTCCATGAGCTGCGAAGCTTTCTGGGTCTCTGCACATACTACCGTCGATTTGTCCAAAATTTTGCCAACATCGCCGCCTGTCTACACCGTTTGACGCAAAAAGGCCAGAGGTTTCAGTGGGGCAACGACCAGGAGGAGGCATTCAGAAAGCTCAAAGACATGCTATGCAGAGCCCCCATTTTGACATACCCTATACCTGGCGGCAAGTTTGTTCTGGACACAGACGCAAGTGCGTGCGGCATCGGTGGCGTCCTATCCCAGTAAATCGACGGACAGGAAAAAGTCATCGGGTACTACAGCCGTACATTGTCGAAACCTGAGAGGAATTACTGTGTGACGAGGAGAGAGCTGCTTGCTGTCCTTGAGTGCGTTAAACACTTCCACAAATACCTATATGGCCAGCATTTCCTGCTGAGGACCGACCACGCTGCTCTCCAATGGTTGCTGCAGTTTAAGAATCCGGAAAGTCAACTAGCCCGTTGGATCGAGAGGCTCCAGAGTTATGACTTCAGTATCGAGCACAGAAAAGGCGGAAAACACGGTAATGCTGATGCCCTGTCTCGTCGGCCATGCAAAGTAGAATGCAAGCACTGCTCAAAGGCTGAGAATAAAGAGAATATCGTTGATGTCCGACTATTGCAGTTTGAGTCGGGTGAAGATTGGTCGACGGAACAACGAAGAGATCCCATTCTGGGCAAAGTAATTTCGGCCATAGAAACGGGCAAGCGACCTAGTCGCAAAGAAATTACCTCCGAAAGCCCTCGTTTAAAATCCTATTGGGCCCAATGGGACAGTCTACTTATAATAGATGGTTGCCTATATCGCAAATGGGAAAGTGAGGACGGTAAATCTCACCGGAACTTGATCGTCGTCCCAGACTCCAAAATAAGAGATGTTTTGTCGGAGTTTCACGATGGGCCAAGTGGAGGACATCTTGGCATAGCAAAAACCGCTGAAAAGGTAAAGCAGAGATTCTACTGGGTCGGCTGTCAAAAATCCATTGCCGACTGGATCGCCAATTGTGGAAGTTGCATAAGAGCTAAAGGTCCAACACGGAAGAGTCGAGGCTACATGCAGCAGTATAATTCAGGAGCCCCTTTTGAATGAATCGCAATGGATGTAGCTGGACCGTTCCCAACAAGCGACTCTGGGAACCGGTATGTCTTAGTGGTCATGGATTACTTCAGTAAATGGCCAGAGGTTTATGCTATCCCAAATCAAGAAGCCAGGACAATTGTGGATGTGTTCAGCAAAAATTGGATTTGTCGCTATGGTGTTCCATCTGAGGTTCATTCCGATCAAGGTAGGAATTTTGAATCAGCGATCTTCAAGGAAATGTGTGACTCCTACGGAATTAAGAAAACCAGAACGACGCCCCTACATCCACAATCAGATGGCATGGTGGAAAGATTCAATCGCACCCTGGAAGAACATCTACGGAAAGTGGTGGACAGTGGCCAACGAGACTGGGATGAGCATATTCCCAGGTTTTTACTGGCTTATAGATCGGCCATTCATGATTCCACATCCCGGACCCCAGCCAAAGTTCTGTTCGGAAATGAATTAAAGCTACCTGGCGATTTGATATTCGGTGCTACCCCAAACGACGATGTGAACCAAGATGAAGACAGTCAAAACTCTTTTAGTAAAGTCCACGATGCAGTCCGACATCGAATAAAAATGGTTAGCAACCGCATGAAGGCAAGGTACGATCGAGCGGCAAATACCGATGGGTTTCAAGAAGGGCAACTGGTACTATTGTTCAACCCACAACGAAAGAAAGGACTATGCCCCAAATTGCAAACGCACTGGGAAGGACCCTACAAGATTGTCACGAAAATAAATGACGTCGTTTATCGCATCCAGAGGAGCGACAGTCCCAGGTCGAAGATGAAAGTTGTACATTTGGAGCGGCTGACCCCCTACGGAACGGGAACTGTGCCTATTCGGGACGAACAGGCTTAAGCGGGGGGCAATGTTACGAATATAACTTTAGATTTAAGTTAATTTAGATGAATTCCGTTAATTTAAGAATTTGAATTGTAACGTAAATTTCTACTACGCAGTTTATTTGAATAACTTCACAACAACAACTACTGTATAGATTTTTCTACATCCTTCCATTTCCTCTTTCATTGTCTATTTTGTTGCTGACGTACAATTCTTGTTAAACGTCATCATTGATGATCGCTTAATTCCTCTTTCTTTGTTACCCCCTCGCCTGTATATGTGTTGTTGTTATTGTTCGCTCAATGTAAGTGTGTATGTGTTGTTGTTATTGTTCACTCAATGTAAGTTTGTATGTGTTGTTGTTGTTGTTCACTCAATGTAAGTTTGTATGTGTTTGTTGCATTGGTAGATTGTTCGTAATCTAGGCGTTACCAGATCGTCTAGAAACTTCTGTAGCGACAGGCAAGGCTCATATAAATAGAGGAAATGGAAAGGCAGTTAGTCAGTTGTGAATCAGATCGCGAATTGAAACCGTCGTGTAAAGTAAGGTGCAAAGTAAAGTTGTGTGAATAAAGTCATTGTAATAATCGTAATCTGAAAGAACCCGCGTTTTATTTGATACGAACTGTATCGGGAAATAAAACAACGTCTACACGGGATTAAGTAAAATCCAAGAACGTAACAATATATATATATATATATTTTTTTTTTTAATGGTCAGATCATCACCGTAAATGCCTTTATTTCGCCTCCAAAATGCATCATACTCGGCTTAAATATTTCTTATTACCTTTATGCATTCCGTGACTATATTTGGATTTCCAATGGCATTTTATTTGTTGTTTTCGAGTTAAAAATTTGCATACAATCATTTATAATATTCTCAATCGTCATAAAATAAGTATTGTGTAAATATTTTTCATAAAAATATTTATTACTTATGTTTTTCTAGTATCTGCCTTTAAATTTATTAGCAAAAAAATTTCGCACAAAATGTCATCACATTCTCCCACTCCCTGTAATCAGAATAACTAATTTTTCCCCAAAGCGGATTTTTTGGCTTTCGAAAGCGAGAATGAGAAAAAAATTCACTGTGCAATGTTGTTCAGTCTATAAAACACACATCAAACATTTTTTTGCTAATATTTTATTTGCATTATAACTAGATCAAACTTAATAGATACCAATGACACGAATTTCGGCAACACATATAACTTAAATACATATTTTATATATGTAATAAATTATGGAATTGGATTGTTTAATACTCTAGGATAAAATACCACACGTTCTCAAAAAATAAGGACAAGTACACTTAAAATATCGATGATTATAGAATTGCACTTGAATGTAATCGATGAAAATATAATAAAAATGAAAAAAGAAAGAGATTTGTATTGAGTATTCTTCAACTGATGTGATCAGTTTTAACTAGTTCTAAAATGTTTTGATAATCTGGGTCACGCGCAAAAAATTCTGTAAGATATCGGAATGTGGGACGATCTTTAGCTTTGTAATTCCAACAATTTAACATTATTTCATAAATGTGTTCCGGACATAGGGGGGGTTTAGGCAAACGCTGACCACTCTCAATCAATTTAATTGCATCCACGCCACGTATGTCACCGTAAGGAGGTTCTCCCAAGGAAAACATTTCCCACAAGGTGACGCCAAATGACCACACGTCGCTGGCATGTGAAAATATTCCATTGTTAAAACTTTCTGGAGCATACCTAAATACAATTCAACAGTAGTTAAGACATAATTGACAATATGCCATTATTAACCATACCATTTAATGGGCCATTTGCCACCTTGACTGGCTTGATAACATTCGTTGTCATTTCCTAAAGCTCGAGATAGTCCAAAGTCACTTATTTTGGCTTGATTTCTTGATGCTAACAAAATATTTCGAGCTGCTAAATCGCGATGAACAAAGTGATGTTTCTCCAAATACTGCATGCCTATAAAATAATATCTATAATATACTATTGTTGTTACTTTCGATTATCTTACGTACCACATGCTATTTGAGAAGCCCACAATTTCAGTTCATAGTTAGGATTAATTTTCTCCTTGTGGTCCAATATGAAATGTAACATCGAACCGAATGGTACCAACTCCTGAACCATCATCAAAGTGGAGCCTTTCGATATTCCTATTAACTGAACAATGCAATGATGTTTAAGCCGGATCATTACGGAGGCTTCTCGTAAAAACTCCTGCTTATTTGTCCGACAGTGTTCGTCACGCAATGTTTTTATGGCCACCTCACGACGTCTCATATCGCCTCCAATTCTTTGAATTTGATATCCTCGATAAACCGACCCGAATTCGCCTTCTCCGATTATCGATTCAAGTTTAAGACAATCAGGTGGGATCAAGTAATTTACTTTTGAACTAGCTCTGGACGTTTCTACAGATGCTGTACTTGTTTGTCGATTTAGATATCGCACCATTTCACTTTCATTGGATGTTGTGGATATTAACGAATCTAATCGTTCTGGATTATGTGAAAACTCTCTGAGTTCGGCTGCAGATGCTTCAAGTTCATCTTTAGTCATGTAACTATCACCATCGATATAGGGTTCGGCAAAGACGCGAATATCTACTGTTGGTATATAACCATTTGCATTTGGCGACAGACTGTAAGGAAAGAAAATATAATTATTTATTTTTTTTTTATTTATTTATTTATTTATTCATAATGTAATACAAAGCCTTCATGGCCAAACATAATATATTACATTGCAAATCATAACCTGAATTTTAATTCTAAAATCTTAATTCTAATTGAATTGGCTCCCCAGCCTTTATTTACATTATAGGTGTTACTAAAATAAATATACATAAGTCCCATTAACAATAACATATCCCACATCATCAACTATTACATATTATAATATGTAAATAAGTATAAGAAATGTATAGAGAAACGTCAATTTAGTCGGTGTGACTTGATAAGTACATTCTAAGCTTCAAGCGAAAAGCATTATTTGAGTGAGAAAATATGCGTAAATCAACCGGCAAATAGTTCCAGACCCTGGCTACTCGAACCACAAAATATTTTTCAAAACAAGAGTTACGTATATGTGGTATATTAATTTGAGTATTCCTAGTAGAACGGGAAAATGTAAAAAGATTAAGCAAGAGCTTTGGGTATCCGCTTTTAACAGTTTTAAAAAAGTGCAACGTATTGCGCATATCAACAAACTCTCGAAAAGAACATCCGAGGAACTTGGTTACAAAAACAGAAATATGTTCACGTATACGAACATCAAAGAACCTTACAATGGTATTAACAATACGTTGCAATTTTAAAAAGTTATATTCAGAAGTCCCTGTGAAAACTTCAAGAGCATAGAGGATCCGTGGCATCAAAATTGCATGAGCTATTCTCATTTTAACCCAAGTAGGCAAAAAAATGCTTGTTGAATACAACTTACGCAAAACAAAATAAATTTTAGAGTGAATAGTGTCTATGTGGTACCCAAAGTTAAGTTTATTATCTAGTACCAATCCTAGACATTTATGTCTATCCAATATTTCAACATGAGTCTGTCCTATTAATATATTACAATCAATTTGTTTAAAATAAACCGAATTGAATATGGGCAGTATTTCCATTTTATCAATCCTCATTATGTATGTCTTGAAAATAATAAAATTTTCGGTTCAGTCACAATTACATTAACAAAGCCGAAGCTTCCAAGTAAATTAACTTAAATGACCAACATTTTGTAAATTTTGCGAAAATATTCCTTTAAATCCAAAACTATGCAATAATGATGATAGTCAATGACAATATGTATATGTATATTACCTTTCGGTTGGAATTTGTTGATTTCGCTCTCTTTCAATAATAACATCACTTTTTGTAAAATATTCAACTTCTTCTTCAGTTTTAGATTCAGGTTTCATCTTAGAATCTAAAGATGACGTGAGAGTATCACTATTAACTGCTGCATTATTTTTGGGAACATTATACAATTCATTTTGACCACCGTTATTGTTGATTAAATTTAAACTTGCAAAATCTGTCGAAAAGGACAAGTCCTTCAATAATGTTTCAGCCTGTTTGAGTTCTTCCTCGTTGCAGGGCACTTGAGGTTTGTCGTCACATGATATTGATTTTTGTTTCAGCTTACTTTTTCGTAATGTACTCATACTTTCTAAGATGCTGGTCTTTTTGGGACTTTTCAATTTCAACGTGCTGAATACGGATGATTCCTTTGATTTCTTCTTGGTATTGTTGTGGTGATGTATGGTAGATAATGTATGGGAATTCTTATGGGGCAATTGTAGTGCTGCCTCCTTCTCCATAGGGGGGCTTTTAGCTATATGCTGAGTAGAGCATTGTGGCACTTGTATGGCTTCGGACGATTTTTTAGATGTTCGTGGCATTGTTGAAAACAAAGGTAATGGAGGTTTTGGTTTTGGAAGAACAGGATATTTGAGATTTATAGGCAACCCATCAGCAAAACGCATGAAATGTTCCACTAAGTGCTCTAATGTTGGTAAGAACGGCCCGTCATCAATGTATAAAAATTTTGACTGTAAATGATAGGATACATTTATAAGATAACTTAAATTGTGTGTGTGTTTTTTGTGTTTGTGGGAATCTACTGAATAATGACAGTTGTAATGAAAATTACCATTAAAAACAATCAAAAAAAACACATTATTTCTATTGAACCTTAATAGAGGTAATATACTGTAGAAATTATTTATAACTTCTCCTTTATGATCGACACAAAATAGTAAATTCTTGCAGTAACAATTTAAATAAAATCAAATACACTTATTTTTTAATTTAATTATGACCTTTGCGCACTATAATCAATATTAATTTGGGATGTTTTTTTATTTTAAAATAGGCAAGCTGTTCTAATCCTACTCTTTTGTTGATAACATAAATTACAAACATATGGATTTTCTCCTGATTTTGGACAAAATATAGATCAGAATATTTCATATTATTTGAACTTACCGACTGTGAAATTATGAAATTTTTCACAACATTATCATATAGCAGGGTTAATACATAACCAGTTCCTGCAGTTTTTCTCTCAGAAAAGCGAACCAGAAAGCAACCTGATGCATCGACGTTAGCATTTTGAATTCCGTTTTCAGTTGTAGTATTTTCTATTTGGAACTTCGCTGCAAACGTTTTTAAAACTTCCGTTGCTTCTTCCCGATTTAGAGTTCCGTGATACCACTGTGATCTATTTGTGTTTGCTGGTTTCAATTTATATGTCTCCAGATATTGTACCACCTTTTCATGATTAGCTTCCTTTGCCAAATCAATGGGAAATTCTCCCATAGATGTACGAGGCAGAAGTGGTACATTAGCAGCCAACAATTCCTTTACTGCTTCCAAATTGCCGTGTTTCGCTGCTTCATGTAAAGGCACATAGCCGTTTCGAATATTGCGACCCTGAACATTGGCATGTGCAGCTATTAAAAGTTGTATAAAGCTGCCACGCTGATGTCTGGCAGCGTACTAAAAATACACAAACCATTAGATCTAAAGTCCAATAAACGTAGTTCCGAACTTACATGAAGTGGCATGTTATTATCCGTATCCATACAATTAACATTTACTCCTGCGTTTAGTAACAGATTGAGCATAGCTTCATCACCGTACAATGCAGCCAGATGCATAGCGGTTTGCCCATTTTGATTTTTGGCATCCACATTTCGATAGCCACACTTCAGGAGTTCCGATACAACAATATGATTGTTATTCATAACTGCACGATGAAGCAAGTTGGTATTTCCATGACTACGTGTTTCATTCGGTGGCGGATCGTTCCGAATGAACTTGGTGAGTTTGGTTACTAAGCCATTGGCCGATTGCTGGTAATATTCAACCAATGTGTCCAATCCATGCAAAATCTTTACTTTATCTTCAATTGAGAAAAACGCGTCCTCCCCATGACGTCTTATTTGATAATGGCAAACCTCGCCCTGGTGTAACAAGGTCAGCACAAAATCACCCGCAGCAGTATTACTTTCGCGGACAAGGAATGTACCATCCTCCTCGCCTTAAAAATTTACATATGTTGAAAATATGTGAATTAAATCAAATACATATTAAAAATACCATTTAATTTACCACTTTTGCATATTTCTTCCGCAGACTCGCGAGATAGCCGTCCATGAAACCAACACAAGTTTTCATCTCGGCTCATAATAGATTGCTAAAGGCACAATTGTTTTATCTATATTTGAATACAGTTTAAAATATTTGTATCAAATCTGAAAAGCAACAATAACAATTTCCTTCCCACAACAAATTGACAACGATGGTATAAAAAAAAACAATAAGATCACTTAATTTCTTACTTTTAACACTTGCAACTTTTGGTACTTTCTTCTATGAGATGTATTATTCTCCGCATAAAGCCAGTGTTGCATTTCAATAGTACTGTGATATTGATCATGATCAAAGCAGATTTAATAAGGTAGCTGTATGAGCACAGCTGCTGGTAGAATTAACTCTCAGTAATGTTGCCTTTAGATTTACGAAATCCAATCGATCTCAAACGTCAATTCCATTGCGTATACATCAAGTATAATCGACTGGATTGTGAACATGAATAAAAGCACATTTACATACAACAGAAAATTCAGGATTTAGGGTTGTTGCGTCATTTATTTCCTAGAACCGGCACAATTTTGCGTCATTTCTGAATAATATAAGTTATCGTCATTATTCATTCTACATTATATAATTGAATTCACATTTTTAGAGGAATTTTAAAAACTTTATGGAGGGTGCACAAAAATTCGCTCGCGAATGATTCAGAATACATTTCTTTTTTGTCTTGGGCTCATTATAACTTTCACCGCATTGTTGTACAGGGTATTATGACTTTGTGCATATGTTTGTAACTCGTCAACATAGGAGTTGATCTCTGTTGGTTCCGTTGTGACTGATTTTTTTTTTTTTTGATAAAATATATTCTGTACTACTCGAACAATCGACTTGATATAAGAAATGCCAATATCAATCGATATTTTCTCACATACTGCAAAAATATTCCAACCTTCTTCAATAAAGTCTCGAAGTTGAATCGTTCCTTTAGGTTAATTCCCATTTTTTGAGTTTTTATTTCAAATATTTATTTATTTGGAGAATTATTTATTGTTTTCTTCTAATTCTAGCAATTTCTGGTGCATTCGGACCTTTATTTTCTATAATAATGATGATTTTCTGAATTTTAGGTGTACTGTACAATTTTTTTGGCAATTTTGATAGATTTAACAGATTTTTTCAAAAATGTTTATCTGTAAATGATTTTATCGGAGCTTAGTTTACACAATTTACCTAAATTAAAGAGCTTTTTTAAAAATATATTAAAAAAATGAAGTAGAGTAAAAAATCACACAATGTTTTAATTATGTGGGCACTTCAAAGTCGAAGTATTTTCATAAAAACCGTTATTTATGGAAAAATTACATGAAATAATTTTCTATTTTCACACTAAATCTCTGAGGTGCAGTATATCGAAGTGCTCCAAATAAAAAATATTCATAAGTACTTCAAACGAATCGAGAGCTGATCAAAAAATGTTTACCACAATAAATGTTTTAATTGCGTGATCACCACTGTATATTTTCGCCCGATTTTATGTAAAAGATGCACCAAAGTCCCTATATTACTTTCGATTTGCATGAAATTTCGCATAACGTACATAATCTATAGATCCCTATGTCTGAGTAGACGTCGTTTTTTTATCGCAGCTGATCATTTCTTTTATATTGCCGTTTATCATCGATTAAACTATTTGAAATATACATTGGTGCCACTGTTATTGTTTATATAATTTCGGTTTATAAAAATTTCCGGAGTTTTTATAATTTTTAAACGAATTACAATTCGTGCATTTTTGCATTGCATTTTTATTGCATAAGCTTGCTGTGTTGCTTTGTTGGTGTGTTGCTGTTACTGCTGTTGCTTTTCTGCTTCTTCTTTGGCTGTTGTTGTTTACCGGTTCTTTTGATATGCCTGCTACTAGAGTTGCTAAATGCAAATTGTGTGATGGATCCATTACTAAGACGCAAAGTAGTGTTCTATGCCGAGCATGTAACTGTTGGATACATACATCTTGTGCAAATATTGATGAAAAGAATCTGCATGTTTTAAAGACGGTAAAATCGTTTGCGTTTATTTGCCCTGCTTGTGAACCTAATCTAAATGGCAACTGTAATAACGATGGCATTTTAGAAAAAATAAACAGTCTGACAGAGAAATTAGATAACTTTATGCAGAATTATCAAACAGAGCAAAATTCTATTAAAACTGTTTTGGATGGTATAAGGAAAGAAGTGAGCTCGTGTGTTGCAGAGATGAAGTCTGACATCAAGGAATGCAATAGTAATATTCGGCGTGTTGAAACTACTACTACTACAAAATTTGTTGCTCTTGAGAAGGAGGACAATATAATTCATAGAAGATTGAATCGTTCTGACATTTTAATTAGTGGTCTGCCTGCAGGACTTAATGACTTGGAAGCTCCTGTGATTGCCTTGGGGTCCTTTTTTAATGTACCTGTTGCTAGCTTTGATATTCAACATGTCTGTTATATCAATCACAGAAAACAAATTCTCGTTAAGTTTAACAAAGTTTCTAAACGTGATGATTTGATGAGAGAATATTTTAAGACTCGTAATCTCAGAGTATCTGATATTTTGAGTGGACAAGGTGACGACCTGAGAAATCGTGTGTACTTGAATGATCATTTCTCCCCCTTGGCTGCTCAGTTGAATTTTGTATGCAAGAGACTTCGTCAATTATCCGTTGTGAAGAAATTTAAAATTTTAAATTCTGATGTGCCGAGAGCTTTGCTGGTATTTGTGGATGGTAGAGAGGAAACTTACAATGCAAGTCAATGTGATGCTCTGCTTCGTGATGCTGATACAGTGAGCAGTTGATGCCTACTTGTGTATCGTATGTTATTTATTTTATTTACTCTGCTTTAATTTAATTAAATTTTTTTTTTCTAATTTTTTTATTGATCTCTTATTGTGTTTTTGATCAGCTGCGTTAGAGTTGGTTGTAAATTTTTTTATATAAATTGATAATGTTAAATAGTAAACACGAATTTTTGTTTTGTATTTGGTTCCCCTATGTAACTGTATTAATTTTTATTATTGATGTCTTTTAGTGATAATTTAGGACCAGTGATTAGCAGCAATGAATACTTTAATAGAGTTCTCAGATCTTGCCATGATAAGTTCAATATTGGTCATTGGAATTGTAGAAGTATGAGACCTTCTGTGAATTCTACTAAGTTTTGTGAAATGAAGTCTATTCTATCTGGTTCTGGCATAAATGTTCTTGGTGTCTCTGAAACCTGGTTAAAACCTGAAGTTTCTAACCGTGTTGTTGCTATACCTGGGTATAAGTTTCTTAGGAATGATCGTCAAAACATAAGAGGTGGTGGTGTAGGAATTTATATTATGAATGATATTCGGTATAAGATCGTTTTTAAGTCGTCTATCTTGGGAAAATGCGAGTCTCTCTTTATTGAAATATTGTCGGGTGATGTTAAACTATTATTTGGTGTGGTGTATCTTCCTCCTCCAGGTGACTTTGCTGCTTTTGAAAATATGCATGCTGATTTATGTTTGAATTATTCCAGTATAGTCATTGTTGGTGATTTTAATTGCAATTTGTTCGATCCTCATAAGGCTCTGTCCGTCCGCTCTATCTGCTTCCGGTTAAACTTATCTATTCTACATAATTCCATACCTACTCACTATGATATGTCGCATAATTCGTCTTCATTAATTGATTTTATGTTAGTTAGCAACTGTTCCATGATTTATCTTTCTGATCAAGTTATTTGTCCATCTATTTCTGACCATTCCTTAATTTTTGCCTCACTTAATGTCAACATTAGCACATTTTGTGAATTTGTTGAATACCGTGACTACGCGAACATAGACTGGAATGGATTTTTTAGCTATTTATCTGCATTTGATTTTACAGTGTTAAATGTTGTTGATGTGGATCTTAAATGTTCTCTGCTATCTTCAATTATTGTCGATTTGTTTGCCTTTGTTCCCATTGTACGTAAGAAAATTCGTCCGGATGATAATTGGATTAGTACGAATACCGTAACTTTGGCTCGATCTCTTCGTGATATGGCTTATTGTTCTTACCAACAAAACAAAAATGCTGATAGTTGGAAAATATATTGTAAGTACAGGAATAAAGCTAAGTCCGTTATTCGAAGAGCGTAGGAAGTTTTATTCTAGAAAGTTTAAAGGGATGGGTTCTACTGCGCTCTGGCGCTTTCTTAGAGGATCTGGAATTACAGGAGATGATGGCATGGAGTGTAATATTGATGTCGATGTTATGAATTCAAATTTTGTTTTCCATAATCACAGTACCAACGATTTTGACAATTTGTTCATCGATAATTCTGATAATGGTTTTTCTTTTTGTGCTGTTTATGTTGAAGATATTGTTGTGGCTCTGAACAAAGTTAAGTCTAAATCCATTGGTGTAGATGGAATACCCATTGATTTTTTGAAGCTTGTTTTTCCATATATTTGTGATTACGTTCTTGATTTGATCAATTCTGTGTTAATGACTTCTGTATTTCCTTTGACTTGGAAGAAAGCTCGTGTGGTCCCTATACCGAAGGTTAGTGTTGTTCGTTGCTCTGAAGATCTCAGGCCTATTTCTATTCTCCCTGTTTTGTCTAAATTGTGTGAGCACATTATTAAGGAACAAATACTGGCACATGTGAGTAGACAAATTTATGATGGCCAGTTTGCCTATCGTAGACATCATAGTACTACTGCATTGCTGTTATATATGACTGATATGATTAGGAATAATGTTAACATGAATAAAAATACAGTTGTTGTTTCGTTAGATTTAACCAAAGCGTTTAACTCTATTTCGTTTTCTATGTTAATTTGTAAACTTAAGAATGAATTAAATTTTTCTGTATCTGCTTGTAGGCTTGTTATGTCTTATTTGATTGGTAGAACTCAATTTGTTTCATTTAATGGAAACTCTTCTGCAATTCTCCCTCTTACATGTGGTGTTCCACAAGGCTCTGTTTTGGGCCCCTTGCTTTTTGTTCTTTACGTAAATAATATTGCTGATTGTGTTTGTAATGTGAACTGTAAACCGCTTTTATTTGCGGATGATATATTTCTTATATTTAGT